TTGGCACTTTTCCACTGCATGGTACGGCACGGTACGGTTCACTTTTAGGGGGGTTTTCCACTGGGTACAGTACCTGGTACCTGGTACTTGTTTCAGTACCACCTCGGTTGGGGTTCCAAGTGAACCGTACCGTTACCAAAACGTGACGTGTAAGCTCTGCTGATCAGTGATTGGCCGGAGAGAATCGTCACTACCTGCGTCACTGGGCTGGCAGCACAAACACAACAGAACCACTAGATTTAAATCAGCACAGCCGATCGAACGCACCTTTTTTTAACAACCAAAAAGTGGCTGTTTCGTTGTCTATAGTATAAAAGACTACACAACATTATTATATTATCTTTAAATTAATCTTTAAATGATTATTATTTTAAATTATTGTCCCTGGATCAGTAGGGTACTCTTGTAATAAAGTAGCGGTGGCTGGGACAGATTTTAAATATCAATTCTGCTTAAAAAGTTGCAATCTAATCCTGTTCCCTTGAAATAAGCTGTTCCCGAGCAGGTTTAAGCTTACGGAGCTGTTGCTATGACAGCAACTCCGGGATGAGCTTCAAAGAACCAAATAATCCAAGATCTCACCAAATCATCAACAATCACATCCAGCTAACTGAGTTAGCGACATACGAAGAACGGGCCCCTGCAGTCCCTTCTCTTAATAAAATTACCTGTTGTGATTGAAGTTGTGTATGTTGTGTCTTCTGGTGCCAGACCACACTGGCTTAAAGAATTAAAGGTGGTGGCAGCGGCTTAAGTACAGAAAATATTACAGTATAAATAAAATAAATGTGTAATCTATTCTATTGCAATGAAAGAGTGTGAGATTCTGTCTAAAAGTTTGGGTGCAGAAAAACTATTTATACCAGCTTATCCATGTATTAAAATGCAAGTAGTGCAAATGTGGTTTACTAGTTAAAACATGTTAAGTGTAGGAGTTGAAGCAGATTTTATACATGTAACAGTATTGAAACGTACATTACCAAAAAAAGATTTTTAATGTTTTTTAAAGAATTCTCTTCTGCTCAGCAAGCCTGCATTTATTTGATCCAAAATACAGCAAAAGCAGTAATATGTTTCAAATATTAATAATAATAATAAATATTTTTTGAGAAGATTTGTTTGGAATGTAAACTGCGTGTGAACAGGACTTTTATTTTGCGCAGCGCCGGATAAAGCTCTATGAAGACTCTGAGCGGGTGGTGTTTACTGTGGGTTGGTAGGAGATTGTAGATAGTGTCAGTGGTCCATTTGAGCGCTAGGTGGCGGTAATGCTCGTATTAGTCTGTGATCCGCCGTAAAGCAAGAAGAAGAAGAAGACCTTTGTTTGGGTCTGGAGACAGGACGTCATAGGTCTGCGCCGCTCTCCGTCTGTTGTGATTGGGCTGAAGAAAGGTTTGTGTTTAATCGTGTTTTGCTTTTTTTTTAAATCAATATAAACAGTTCAATAAATGTTATAGTTGTACACACGATGCAAAATGAATTATTTATCATTGAATGTAGCGTTGTAATGTTTTATCTAACATTAATGGACGTTATTTTTGTGAATAAGGCTCATGAGTAACAGAAGAAGTGCTCTCATTTCGCTTCCTATATCGTGAATCAGTTTATCGTAACGAATTCGGCACTGACATTTTAGTAATGGAGCCACACTGATTTGAAAAAGTGAAAGTGAAGTGACATGTGGCCAAGTATGGTATCCTATGGAATTTATGCTCTGCATTTAATCCATCCAAGTGCACACACACACAGTAGTGAACACACATATACACACACACACACACACACACACACACAGAAGTGAACACACACACACACACACACATATTTTTTGAGAAGATTTGTTTGGAATGTAAACTGCGTGTGAACAGGACTTTTATTTTGCGCAGCGCCGGATAAAGCTCTATGAAGACTCTGAGCGGGTGGTGTTTACTGTGGGTTGGTAGGAGATTGTAGATAGTGTCAGTGGTCCATTTGAGCGCTAGGTGGCGGTAATGCTCGTATTAGTCTGTGATCCGCCGTAAAGCAAGAAGAAGAAGAAGACCTTTGTTTGGGTCTGGAGACAGGACGTCATAGGTCTGCGCCGCTCTCCGTCTGTTGTGATTGGGCTGAAGAAAGGTTTGTGTTTAATCGTGTTTTGCTTTTTTTTTAAATCAATATAAACAGTTCAATAAATGTTATAGTTGTACACACGATGCAAAATGAATTATTTATCATTGAATGTAGCGTTGTAATGTTTTATCTAACATTAATGGACGTTATTTTTGTGAATAAGGCTCATGAGTAACAGAAGAAGTGCTCTCATTTCGCTTCCTATATCGTGAATCAGTTTATCGTACCGAATTCGGCACTGACATTTTAGTAATGGAGCCACACTGATTTGAAAAAGTGAAAGTGACGTGACATGTGGCCAAGTATGGTATCCTATGGAATTTATGCTCTGCATTTAATCCATCCAAGTGCACACACACAGTAGTGAAC